GTAGCCCCCTATAATGTATTGACATAATCAATCAACTTATTTTTTGTTCTCTTATTTATTAATATTTCAAATATACATATAAAATGCTTAACAGCTTAAGTATACATATATTTTCCATTGTGAACAATTTATTCAGAGATTTCAAAATACCATAATTAATTTTATCAAATATTACTCTCTAAATATACAATTAAATAATTTGGCACTTTTCTTTGCACAAGGAATTACTTAGTATATTATTTAATTTCCAAAATTGCTTTTCCTTTGTTTTTAGCCATGTAGAAATCCTAAGAACTCTTAAATAGAATAAGTGCAACAGAGTTAGGGGACAAGTCCAGAAAAGACCAAGTTGGCAAATTCTAAAATACCATACTATTTACCATATATGCTATTTTAATAAACCTAAGTGATGATATTAGTAACCTCCTTCTCATCTTATTTGTCATCTGTCAGAAACTAAAAATACTATTGTATTTCCATCCATTTTTCTTGGTTTGTTTTCTTGGATTGTTCTGCTTCATAAATTTTAATCCATAAAATATCTAGGGCACAAATTTCATTACAGCTCTACCTTCATTGTATGCTAAACCTTTAACACATAGAAGAGATCTTCTTCTCTAAGTTAATGCTTGAGTTTAATATTGTCACTGGCCTCTGCTTTTCTTGTACCTGTGTTTTCCTGTAGTAGAAGATAGTTTTGTTTCCTTCGGGTACTAGGGATTGAATCCAGGGACCCACTGATCTACAACCCCAGCCCTTTTTATTTTTTATTCTGAGACAGAGTCTTGCTAAGTTGCTTAGGGTCTAACTAAATTGCTGAGATTGGCTTTAAACTTGAGGTCCTCCTGCCTCAGCCTCCTATGCTGCTGGGATTACAGGCATACACCACCGTACCCAGTTTGTTTTATTTTTAATCCTTAAAGGTTTGGGGTTTTGTTTTTGTTTTTTTTAACAGCTGGGTCTAGCTGACTTATGATTTTGTTGTAATTATATAATGAGTTCCACAATCATAAATGTTTTTAGTACTTTTTATGAGTTAGTTTATTTTCTAAGCTTCTTAACTTTACTTAAATTTTTCCTCCTGACAACTGATGTGGCCTTTTTCATTGTATTGGTGGAATCTTGACTATTTACATATTATTGAAATTATATTTTATTATATAAATTTAAAAATTATTTGACTCATTTATGAAAAAAATTAAAATTCTTGTAAGTGCAAGAATTTTACAATTCTTCACATCTTGTTCTTAACTACTGGCATTTGTTAACACAGACCAAAATCATAACATCAACATATTAGGTTTATTATAATTTGGTACAAACCTAAAATTTTTTATTTGAAATTTGGGTTAAGACAGATTTTCTAGTAGTAATTTAAAATTCAGAGGACATTTTTAAAAGATTGATGATGATCTATAATGTTGCCTTTCATGTAAAAAAAAAAAGTGTAAAAAATGTATACTTAACAGCTCACTCGTGCAAAAAAAAAGTCTATATATTTATTTAATATGGTTAACATGCACTTTAGAAGTATATAAACTTCTATTCCAAGCAATATGGATTAATGACCCTCTTGAAAAAAATAAATTTTAAAATTACTTAGAGGCTAGATAAAAATACATTTTACAAATACTTTAAAATATCCCTAATCTGAGGCATATGAAAGGAATCCACAGAATTCTAAAAGCAAGTAAATAAAAGAACTCTATAAGGTAGCCAAACCTCGAGGCTGGTGTTTCTTGAGGGTATGAACCAGATCACAGATACACATTGATCCTCCCCACAGAGTACTCCCTAGTGGGTAGGAGACAAAAGAGTAACTGGGACCTTTCTATGCAGGAAGTCTCCTCGGAGACACCAGCACAAGACCAGGGAAGGACCCCCTTAGCTTCAGCAGAAGGATAAACACGCTTACCACTGCAAAGCAATGCAAGGAAACAATACGATCTTGATATCAGTACTAGAAGGAAAATAAAAATCTCCTCGGGGAAATTTAAAATTATGCATCATGTTGATTCAAGACTTAAATACATACCACTTTTAATCTGAAAAAAATCCTAACCAGATCATTTAAAATGTTTCTAGATGCTATCTTCAGTGACTAGTAGAAACAAATAGTAGAAACAAATGTATTTATCACTGGAATGAAGCAGAGTGGAACTTCAAAGCAAGTATCCATTTAAAAAGCTCAAGGAAGAACATGATTTCCAGGAGAGAGAGAGAGAGAGAGAGAGAGAGAGAGAGAGAGAGAGAGAGATTGATTTTGATTAAGATTGATTGATTAATTGCAGGGCTTGGTGGTACACTGCTCCAGAAACTGAGGCAGGAAGATCGCAAGTTCAAAGCCAGCCTCAGCAAAAGCGAGGTGCTAAGCAACTCATGAGACCTGTCTCTAATAAAATACAAAATAGGCTGGAGATGTGGCTCAGTGGTTAAGTGCCCTTGAATTTAATCCCTGGGAAAGAAAGAAAGGAAGAAAGAAAAGATAAAGGAAAAAAGGGGGGGGGGGAGATGAGGAGAGAGAGGGAGAGAGGGAGAGAGGGAGGGATAGAGAGAGACCATGAAACACATGAGCAAATAACATACCATGCATACAAGCAGAAAGAAATGAAGGCAAGAAACTGTAACATGGAAGAAATATGACAGAGATACCGTTAATATACTTCAAAAACTAAAATTCCAAGAAGCAGAGGAAAGCTTGAAAATATATCTAGGGAATATAAAAGCTATGATGGAAGAACTGAAACTAATCACAACAAACAGAATCCCTTTGAGAGTCAGTTTCCAAGATACAATTCACCCACCCAAACTCTACCAAAAGCATATCTCAAGAGAGTGCAAGAAATAAAGATATATTTAGACAGATGGAAGGAAGAGACTTCCTCCCAGCAGACCTCTCTGAGGGGTGTTCTACAGGACCAGCGCCTGATCAAAGGAGGATGGGCTGAGCAGGGAGCTGCCCTGCAACAGCAGGCTCATTTTCATGGCTCTCACCAGTTCTGTGAGGTGAACAAGTAGGGTCTCAGAGTTCAAGGTCCAGATTTAGCAAAGAAAAAAAAAACAGATGAGTTTTGTCTCACCGGTCCACCCTGATCTGAAGAAGGGCTGATTCAAGGGAGACAGCATAGGCAGCCCTGCAGGCCATCTCAGAAAGACATGAAGGCCCGTGATGTCAGTGAGTCAATTGTAAAAATAATGGAAAATTGTATAATTTTCTAAGAGAAATTCTTAAATAAGCCAGGCACAGAAAGACAAGGTCTGTATGCTCTCCCAAGGACTCTCCAAGAGCTGACCTCCTAGAAGTTGAGAGCAGAACAGTGGTTCTCAGAGGATAGGAATGATGCAGGGAGAGGCTGACCAGGGGAACTAAGTGGAACAGGGTAAGATACAGCAGGGTGACTGCAGAGAACGACACATACTCCAAAAGCCAAAAGAAAAGATTTTGAATACTTTCACCAAAAAGGGGTGGTAAAGGTTTGAGAAGATAAGATATATTTAACTTGATTTAAACATTACACAATGTATACATGTATTGAAACATCACATGGTACCTCATTAATAGCTTTAGTTTCATGTCTTTATGCACCTGTTAAAATAAATTTAATTTGAATTATAAAAATAAATAAGCCCTCACCAAATTTTTGAAATAAATTTTTAACAGGGAAGAGTAATATCCACTTGTTGCTTTTGTAGGTTTGCCACTTTAAAATACTACTGCTGTCTAAAATACAGGGTAAAGTGCTTGGAAGTGGTAGTAAATCTGAGTAATACAATTTAATAAATGTTGTGGTCCAACTGCTTCTGTGAAAGGCTCCCAGAGAGGTGCTAGAGGAATGATAACATTGGCTGGCAGAGGTCCTTGCCCTACAGAATCTTTGAATCCTGTAGGATAACAAGCTTTAGGAAGCGATTGTAATACCAGGGGAAACAATGGTTGTGGAATGAAGAATTACAAGTTAACTCAATCAGTCCATACATTTTATGCAATTACTTTCACTCTTTGTATTTTTTAATGTAAATTTTTTAATTTATATATGACAGCAGAACGCATTACAATTCTTATTACACATATAGAGCACAATTTTTCATATCTCTGGTTGTATACATAGTATATTCACTCTTTGTATTATTATATTACTCAATATTATTATTAGAGATCTTAGTACACTATCTTCTCTTTTTCTATATACATGTTACATGTCAATGGTATTTTGATTATTTGAGAATACAGGTATCTTTATTTCAAAAATTCATCCCAAATCTCAAATAGCAGTGCCTACCATATAAGAAATACACAGTAAATGTCCAATAAATTTATAAGTGCATTTCAAACTGAAAACAAAAGATTATTGACTAAGATTATGCTAAAATGTTAAGTACCTGATTTTAAGGTACTTAAAATCAAATACCAGTGACTAAACATCTTGAGATGCTTTTGAGAGTGCCTGTGTGAGTTGCATTTGACAGTGGGCTGTTTTCCACCTAAAGAAGAGCAGAGATTCAGAAGAGCCATAGCTGAGACTCACTCCTCAAGGGCTGAATGCCCTGAAGCACAGCCACAGCCACTCAGACCAGACCAGGAGCTTCTTCCTGTGCTCTTACAGAGCTGTCTTTTACCCCGTAAACACCACACAGACCATGTTCAACTTCTGCTCCCATTTTATTCCACTGTGGACCATGAATGCCAAGGGCACAGGCCCTCTTGTATGGCACCATAGCCCACAATGCTGAAATGACTTTTGTATAAAACACAAATTCTTTACAAGTCATGCATGATATGGGACACTACAAGGCAAAAATTGATACATAAGTAAATTAATTAATTTCAAGATTTTATGAAGAATATCATGTCATTCTTGACTGATACTAACCACATTAAAAATTAAAATACGATTGTTTTAATACTTAATTATGACACATCTGTTGTTTGTAATAAAATAGTTTTTAATAAAGAGCTTATGGTATCATCTAGAGCACCAAAATTTAATATAGATACTTACATTATTGCACTCTCCAAGGAAATACAGTGCAAATCCATCAGCTTTTGTGGCTGCCAAAGTAATAAAAAAGGAAGAAACTAATCTCAGTGGAAGAATATAACATGTATGAATTCTCTATAGTGTGACTCAGATGTGAGCCTGTTGAGTGGATCTGTTAACATGACCAGTGTCATGCACTGAAGGGACAAAGCCATATATGGCTTCACTCAATAACAGGGTATTTCCACATACTCCTCATCAGTGACTGCAACACTAAGTGACATCTTCAAATGCATACAGCAGGCAACATGCCGTGCAATAATGTACTTTGAACTTTAAATGTTGAACTTTAAATATTCAGAATTTCCACAGAACACTTTTTAAATTCAAGAATTGTATTTAATTTTTAAAGTATTATAAATATTAATGGTGATAGTCATAATACTGAATTACTGAAATAAGCATCAACCAAAAGGGGTGTACACATCTACATATCCACTGACATGAACATAATAGATCTAAAATCACTTCATGTCATCTGAAGCAATCACCACAGCAAGGAATAGCATTAAGTCTTTCAGGGACTGCCTTTTTTTTTTTTTTTTCTTGTTCTGGGGATTGAACTACTCAGGGGCACTTGACCACTGAACCATATTCCAGCTCTATTTTTTGTATTTTATTTAGAGATAGGGTCTCACTGAGTTGCTTAGCACTTCACTTTTGCTGAGGCTGTATTTGAACTCACCATCGTGTCTCACCCTCTGGACCTCTGGGATTACAGACATGTGTCACCACACCCATCGGTTCAGGGATGGCCTAAATTTAAACCCTCTATTTAACTCCTTTTTATCTCTGTGTCTTTGGAAAAAACAACTAACTTCTGTCCCATGGCTTCTTCATTAGGAGAATGGGGATAAGAACAGAAATGACCTCATGAGGCGATCATGAGAACCAAAGTTTGTGCATGGAGTCTGCATGGGGAGATGTCTGACACAGGGTTAAGTATGATAAACATTACTATTAATTATTATGTCATCAGCATTCTCACTTCCAAATAAAACTCAAAAGATTCAATTTTCATAGTGGGTATCCTAAAAAGTCATGTCCTAAAAAAAGTGCACCCTTCTAAAATCTTATTTTTCTGATACAACTTCCCCATTCATTCCCAAAGTAAACCACTGATTATCTAGGATATACCCAAATAAGTTTAAAATGCTTGTTTCCTTTAAAAATTAGTGGTTTCCTTTATAAATGTCTCACTTAGTTCAATAAACAAAATTTTCCAAAGAAAACTTGGTATTAATTAAAATCATAGTATATTTAATTCATGCAACAGGTAGATACTTATTTGAAATCAGATGATTTAGGAATTTTTTAGGCTTGATGTTTCATAATAAAATATTTTTATTACTTAGTCTGGTATAAAAGCAAATGAATGATTTTCATCACCCTTTTAGTTATTTTCTGCCAGTTTTGGTAATGTAAGAAAAGAATATTTGGTCAAATTTGGTCAAAATTTCCCCAGGGAATATAAAATATTTCTTACCTATTTTGATTATGCTACTCAATTCATAGAGGAGCAACTGGTTATCTCCTCCCGTGTCCAACCGCTGCTCAATATAGCTGTTCAGCTCATACACGACTCCCTGCATATTTGTATCTTGGTACTTTGAATAAAACATAACAAAAATAAAGGGAATAGTTTAATAAAATAGAATAAAAATCCCTTAGTTTATAAAATATGCAACTAATGCACATATATATAACTTAAAACACTAGCTGTTTGTTACACTTTATAATTATACAGTATGATTTAAATATAATCTATTATATAAAATGAATATTTTCAAATCATTAAGACTTATTTAGACTCACCATAAACTGCATCTAAATTACTTACTTATATTAAAATATCCAATGTCAAATTATAAGTTCATTTCTGAATTTTTATAAATATCAGCAACTTGATTAGTAAAATAATACAACAGTTTGCTCATCAAGACAGAGCAATATGCTAGGACATCTCTCCACAGGCACTGCACTGGGAGACTCAATGCCCCACCCCTGGCTCCCATCTCTGTGGCTCAGGACAGGAGTGGAAGGTTTGCACTGTGGCTGTGGTCACTGCAGCAGCCCATAGCAAAGCCATACCCCAAACTGTAGTAGAGCTCCAAGGACAACGGCAGGTTATGGGGAAAAGCCACCCTTACCCTGCAGCAAGCTACACTCTTTCTTCTCTAAGATAATGAAAAATACTGTCTTCTCATTCACCTCCTTGATGCTAAGCTTGCCTTACTAAACCACATTCTCCAAATAACAAACATTATAAACTTTAAAAATTAAATAAAATTCGGTTACCCTTTGGCTTAAAATACTCCTAGGACTTCCCATTGTGCTGGGGATAACAGATGGATTCCTCTCATGATGGACTCCTACACCACAAAATGTGGTCACTGTCTACCTCCAAAGCTTCCTTCTTAACTCCTCATTCTCCTCTCTGCCCTCACAGTCTCAGGCGTGGCCACCTCTCTGTTCCTGGAGCACTCAGACGCCTCTCACTCCCAAAGGTCTCCTACTTGCTATCACTAGCACTGTGCTCAATATACATCTGTGGAGTGAACAAGTAGATAACACTAATCAGTCGATCACCTGACAAATGACCATGTATTAGAGTAGCCACTCTGTTAGACACTAGAGACCTCACAGAGTGGACAAGACCAAAGTTCTGTCCTCTAGGAGCTTACATTCTAGTAGGAAGAGAATCAATAAGTAAATAAAGCAATTTTTATACAGATGCACAGTGGAGATGTGGAATCCAGTATGTTAGCTCTAGGCTGGCTGAAATCTGTCCCCCAAGCGGCCTATACTAAATCAACTTGAAATGCCAGAACTGCCCTAAGTTCAAAGACTTAGCAAGATGAGAATAGCATTCAACTTACCATTGTCTAGTTACATCCTACAGAAGCCCTTCTCGGTACACATAAAGAGCCCTATGGTGGGGACCAGGAATGAATGTGGGAACTGCTACCATCCATGCATATTCCCCAAATATACCACGATGGGTTCTTGTTGAGGCAGGGGCTCAGTAGTAGCACTTCATGCCCAGAGACAAGGTGAGATATTGACACACCAGACGGAAACGAACTTGTAATCAAATGCTGTGACCAGAAGAGATCTTTAGTATTAGCTACTTGATCATGGTGTCCCTGAAACTCAACAGGTCACCCTACTAAAGTTTTGGGTTATTTTTGTTTTTCCCTTTGTCAACCAAGAAAAGTTCTGGCTTAAGTGAAGGAAAAGTCAGAATACCTCAACGAAGTCCCAGAACTGAGTCAACGCATAGGCTGGAAAGCTTGAATTAAGAAAGGTCTACTTGAAGAAGGATCTTGATAGATAGCCAAAATGTACAAAGCAGATCTTCCTCCTACCTTCCCCAAAGAGACCTGTAACCATCTGCCTGGGTAGTCAGTGGGGTGGGGGAATCACTGGACACTGGCTTCATGCTGATACTAATTCTTGAGACACCCAATGCCACCCACTGTGGTGTACCACTCAGAGGGTCTTATAGAGATCAGAGGATCAGTGGACTTTTAACTTACGTCCATCTCAAAAGTGAGCCCCAATGGTTTCTTATCACCCTGTGATGACCACATTTTGGTAGAATGAAGAATCTTGACATAGAAATAGAGTGAAAATCTGAAGAATCTTGACATAGAAATAGAGAGAAAAAGTGAAATTTATAGAAGTCTCCCAAGTATAGAGAAAAACATAAATAAATATGATCAAAAAGCAGCAAAATAGAAACCTTCCAAGCAACTCCAGTGCTTCATAACCAACTTCAGAATTCAATGACCACCCTACTGGGCTCTCACCTGTGGGTGCCACTCCTTGCATCCCTAAGCCCAGGCCTCTCAGGCTTGTGTGCTCTGCTCCCACATCAGCTGCATTTTTCCTGCTTTGCTGTGTGCAGCACCCAGAGGTTAGTCTGCCCTCCCTTAGCCTTGTGGATGCTGCCTGCTTTGTTGGACATTATCATGATAAATTACCGGTCCTGGATAAGTTCTGTGATTTTTTATTGCTAAAACTTTATTTTGCTAACAGCCATAACTTTTCAGTTATTGGCTACCTCTAGACTTTTTCCAGGTCCTTGGCTTACAGAGGTACCAGTGTTATGGCAGACTCTACACCACAATCACTGGGAATTCTGATGCCTCTATCCAGTACTGTGTGTGGTCCCAAAAGCTCATGGTGCTTCCTCTGACATTCATAAACAAGATCCAAGTTTTGAAAAGTTCCAGATAAAATATTCTACTTTAACATAACTCTATTCTCTACTCTCTTTTTTACCACTAATCAGAACTACTAGTTCTGTATTTTCCCTTAAAGTTCTTGGAAAGAGCTCTTTTGAAGATGAAGCTAACCCAAAAGGAAAGCTGAGCCAAGGGACTGAGAAAAAGTCATAATGCCAGACCTCGAACCTCTACATCCAGGCATGCAGAAGTCTTCACACCTCAAAGTCTATCCCCAGCATTTCTTCTATAGGAACAAGCACATTGTCTCAGTGCCTTGATTTGCTTGTCAGAGAAGGGGGAGCTTTAGCTAGTTTTAAGGTGGGCTATTAATCATTCAGCAAGTGATATACAGGTTGGTCTGTCTCCAAAGTCTGACTAGATGATGATTCTGAGAATAAGCTGTTTAGTAATGAACTATAAGAGGTGCTGAGATCAATAACCAGCTGTTCTCTAACTCTTTTGGAAATAGGTTCTCACAAACAAATGAGAACAAGAAGACATTCTGGGATACAGAAATTTATCATGAGATTTCATTTCATGTTTCTGGGCTTTATGTTTTCTCATCTGTAGAAATAGTGCTGAGAGCCATAGCCAAGTAAGAATGGCATTTTTGGTTGAAAGGTGACCCTGCTCAGGGATTAGGGTGGCTCCAGGTTTAGGGTGGATCCTGCTGGATTAGGGTGGCTCCAGATTTAGGGTGGATCCTGCTGGGAATAGGGCATATCCTGCTGCCTCAGGCGCCCGCTCCTTGAGTTCCCGTTGAGTTCTCGCAGGGTTCTGAGAGAATTGGTACGCAGAGCCCGGTGAAGGGAGTGTATTTTTCCCAGAACATGTGTGTAGAGTGTAGGTGAGAGTTCGGGAATAAAGAGTTGCTGTTTGAATCTACAAGGCTTTTGTGGTGGCTTGGTTATTTTGTGCCCAGACAGACTGTGGCAAATAGAAGGATGAATTACATTATCTTTAAAATCCTTTTCAGTACAAACTTTCTGTGATAATCTATGACCTGGGTTTTAACTTTTTATTTATATTAAGCTTCAAATTCTATTTTTTAAGTGATTATAATAGCATAATTATTATAATAGTAAAATATTTTACTAAGATTATTATTCTATTGGATAAAATATTAATTCTCAAATATTAAAAGGCTAGTGAGTTATTCAAACCATGATATACTGTAAAATATGAAAAATTTTTTACATGCAAATGTGCAATGATAAGCATAATTATTGTTTGCCATTAGCCTTATGGATATGTTGCTACTCATTAGTAATGTCATGAAAGGGAAGTCTGAGGAAACAGAGATGAATGTGAATCACACACTTCTAAGATTTTCTTACAAAAACCACATGATAGAGCTTACTAAGATAGTAAGCTGAATTAAATAAACTTTCAATTATGTGTCTTGACTAATTTCAAAAGAATACTGATACTAATTTCAAAAGTATACTGATATATTTTTAACCAACTAATGTTAAGAACTTGTATTTGGATAGCATTTTTACCTTCAAAAAGTTCTTTCACTATCTTTATTCTCAGAACCCATATAAAGCTTATGCTGGATATAACTGTGACATTCATTACTCAAGATGAGATAGAATTCCAAGGGAAAGTATGGTGGCACTATACCATTTCCCAAACCTTAGATCACACTGGACCAAACCATCTTCACACTGATACCATGCAGTACTTGCCTGTTATTTCAACAACTACTGAAAACATAACTTCACAAAGATAATCTCAACTAAAGGGCAATAGCCATCAAAAGTGAACTCCCAACTGTGTAATGCAAAAATAAATAAATAAAAAGTGAACTCCCAACTAACGCCAAAACTGTGCACTATGTCAAGTGTGACAGACAGATATCACTGCTGCCCATGAAATTTTAATAAATCCTGGATCATCCCTGTGAATTTGCTGTAGTGCTTCAGGGAACCACATGAGGAACAGTTTGGGAATCAGGAGGATAGTCTTTGTTTTGGCTCAGGAGAAGTAATATGAGATACAATGAAGTATTATTGATCCTTTGTTCAGAAAGAAACTAACAGGTATTCTAGCCAGGAGAGTAAGTGTTCCTAGACTCTTAAAGTCAATTAGGTGTTTAAAAAATATTAAAAGACCACTTAGCCAAAAGAATTTAGAGGCAATTTAAGAATCAAATGATCCCTGTTAGCCCCAGGCACCAAGAGTTCCAAAAGGGCAACAATACACTAGGGAAAAAAATGACACAAATCGACAAAGATTAACAGCCTAAAAAGGAACTTTGCTTCTCGAATAAACCTTAATATTTGACAAAGATCTTTAGATTTCTCTCTCTCTTTTTTTTTTTCTCTCTCTCTCTATATATATATATATATATATATATATATATATATATT